TTACATTACACAATATATACATTGCTCTGAGGGTACTGTTATGGAATAATTTGTTCCTCAGTGTGAATGGATTACCTCCTGAGCCATTTGTCTGCACTAATGTCTTCGTAGAAGGGATTGATGTGAGAAACTGTAATGTGTAAGGCCAATTTGTAGTTGGTAATGTAGTAAATCATGGTCAAAATCCATTTATTAGCATATCCAAGGGACCTACTTTTATAGGAAGAAAAAATACTCCTCTACAAAACACATTTTCCATTCATATTTTTTCATGTTTTTCCACCTTTTCTTTCCTCCTCTCTCCTTGTTTAAAACGCTTTTTTCCCCTAAAGGATCAGGTTTTTTAACTACACTCCATCTAGAAAACTCCATCTAGACTGATGTTGTTTCGGTGCTAAGATGACATTGCTCTGACTGTTCACAGACATTCCGCTCTTTGAGGATATGATTTGTATGATTTTATGATATTTTTTCACAGTGATTTGAGGAATGCAAATGACAAGTCTTTTCTGCATTTTTGGTAATTATAATGTGATCTGTTGACTGTAGAGTTCAGTCAATATGTGTTCTCCTATGCCAAATAGAGGTATTTTTGTTACATATTTGTAAACAGAGGGCTAAGTACAAATCACAGCCTCAGAAGTTACAACTGCCACTCTGCAGACTTGTTAAATTCAGCAAAGGACAAGGCGAAAGATTGGCTTGTTCTGGGGTTTGTCTGGGTTAGGGCTTGGGGTTTTTTTGTGGGGCTTTTTTGCATGTTTTTTTCTCCCTCAGTATCTCAGCAACAGGCTGTGGTGTTTTCATGCCAGACTTTATGCTAAAGAAAGAATTTGAGAGTTTAGTGGTGACCCCAGAAGATGTGTGTCCATGTTAGGAAAGGGACAGTCATCATCTGCCAAGTGTCTGCACAGTGGAGCTGCTGCACTGAATGAAACGTGACACGCAGAAGACAGAGCTGTAAGCAGTGCTCTTCAGGACACTGCTCAGGCCTTGGGGCTGGTAGCACTGCTAACAAAAAAAATCATATCTTCTTTTATACTCATCATTTTTTGGGCCTCAAGCACTGTGATTGACCTGTGTATGCTCTATCCTATACAGAGTTATCTAGGGTACTAAAAGGTGGAGTGTGCAGCACTGGGGCTAATTGAGATACCCACGTGTCAGGGATTTGTTGATGAAATGTTGCATATGGTTAACCTGGTGTCCCAGCAGAGAACTGCCCTGGATCTGGCAGGATTATTTCCTCCAGCTCAGCTCTGCCCCTGCTTGATCTAGCACTCCTTGGAGTGCATTGTGCATACCATGCAGGGCTCCCTGTCTCAGGAGCACTGCACAGCACTGCCTCTGAGCTAGGCAAGTGGGCCCAGTCGGTGTCCCTGGACTAGGAACTGTCAACTCAGTTCAATTCTATAGATCTATAGATCATAAACTGTTAACTGGAGAAAAGAGGGGAGGGAATATCAATTCCATTTTAATGTTCTTCCTGCTCGTGGCACTAGCATGACAGATGCTGGTTATTGGAATCACTATTTTCCTTTATACACACTCCTAACTCTGGGGATTATAAGTGTTTCCTATGTGAAGTACAGATGTTGGATTCTTATTGCAATTTCAGTCATATTCTTAAACCAAATTTTGAGCTCTGTATTGACATTGAAGTTTGAACCCTTCACTTAATCATTTACTGTTGCAGCTTAAAAGTATTTCCATCCTTGAAGCTGTCAAGTTATCTTTTCTCCTTGCAAAATTAAATAGTTAAGAAGATGTAATCCTGATGTTGTTTACATTTGCCTAAAATTAAAGAGCCTCAATCCCCTGTTTTCATTTTGCAGCAACATGTACTGCATCTGTAAGGCATCCAGAAATGTTGCTAAATACATGTGGAAGCATTTCATTCAGGAGATGATTTATTATTAAATAAATACCTCAGTCAATACAAAATTCCAGGAGTACAATACATTATATTTTGCCAATACATTACATTTTACCAAGTAGCTGATGTGCTCCGGAAGAGGGAAACCATGTCCAAAAGTACATCTCTGGAATCAAAAGATTTCTCTCTTGGTCTGGCTCTAAGCAAGATGGATATATTTGTTGCATTTGTATTTGATATATGTGCAAGATGCTTTCCATGTTTTTGTGGAGGTTTCTGTTATATGATTTACTTTGTTTTAAGCCTTGAAGCAGGACTGTAGAAATTATAATATTGAATATTTCAGTATTGTGTATATAATTGAAGACAATGTTCCTAAGACACAAAAATTACCAAAAATGCAAGCTTCAGAACTTCAGTTCTAAAGGAGAATTAGTTTTACCATTAATGCAAATAGAAGTAGGGCTTTTTCAAGAATCTGCAGATTTCACATTTAACCATGAAAATGCTTTTAAGCAGATCTAAGAACCAAAGGTTTTACATAATTTCACATATTTCCATTTGCTTTGCTCCCATTTGTAGTACTTAATAGGACTTCTTTAACATCTAATAGTATAATAAGTTTACAGTTTATGCAGAAATGAGCTGTACTGTCTGAATCAAGTATAAGCTATTGCTTTAGATCAGAGGGAAGTCCTATTTATGCAGAAATGAGCTGTACTCTCTGAATCAAGTATAAACTATTGCTTTAGATCAGAGGGAAGTCCTCTACTATGCAGTTGGCCAAGAACCATTATAACAGTGACAGTGTAGCTGCTACTCAGCAGGAGTTAAGGGAAACAAGTCAAGTAGATCAGTTGACTTGAGGTCTTCACAAAAATCACAACACTGTGGCTCTTGGTGACTGTGGGTGGGTTGTCAGCATAGAATCATAGAACCAGCCAGGTTGGAAAAGACCTCCAAGATCATCGACTCCAACCCTACAGTGGTTACTAGGCCATGGCACTAAGTGCCACATTTAGTCTTAGCTTGGAAGCCTCCAGGAATGGTGAATCCACCACCTCCCCAGGCAGCCCATTCCAATGCCTCATGACTCTCTCCATAAAAAATCTCTTCCTAATATGCAACCTAAACCTCCCCTGGTAGAGCTTGAGTCTGTGCCCTCTTGTCCTACTGCTGGTTGCCTGGGAGAAGAGTAGTTGTAGAGGGTGATAAGGTCTACCCTGAGCCTCCTCCAGGCTAAACAACCCCAGCTCCCTCAGCCTCTCCTCATAGCACTTGTGCTCAAGTCCCTTCACCAGCCTCGTTGCTCTTCTCTGGACCCACTCCAGCACTTCAATATCCTTCCTGAACTGAGGGGCCCAGAACTGCACACAGTATTCAAGGTGTGGCC